TGGTCTTAGGGCATTAGGTGTAAGATACCCCTATGAGCTTAGTAACTCGGGTTGCCAATACTGATATATAAATAGTGCAATGTTTGATTTTCTTAAGTTTTTCTCCTCAACCCATGTAACAGGCATTGGATCAATAGCTTCCAAGTCAGTTAACTTTAGGGTATTAGGTATTAAAACATCCCTTTAAGCTTAATTGCTTAGGTTAGGGAGGCTACGAAACCAAACTTATCTATATTTTTATTATCATCATTTTTTTTTGCTTTTTTTTGCTTTTTTTTGTTTTTTTCATATTATATACTATCCCTTTTCCTTAGTTGTTACCTTTAACAAAAAAACATAAATAATGTAATAATCCAATGTGCAACCCACAATCATATGTTAAAATACGTGTGTGAAAATTAAGGTTTAAGAATACATGTTAAATGAGTATATGAGAAGAATTAAATGATAACAATACGAGAGTTTGTAAACCTGAATATTTCAAGAAGTATTATGATAGATTTGTTAAGAATGGTTACTAAGATGCATCTCAAGAGTCACTTTAACAAAAGAGCTCATTTACTCTGTCATCCTATTAACAACAATTTTGCATATGCTTTATAAAATAGAAAACACAGTTAGTTAATTTTTTTTGTCAACTATTACCCTCTCCCCCCAACTAAAACGAGACATTGTCCTCAATGTCCTAACGTTGAAAGATAGAGTATAGAAGATATTACCCAAAATAACAAACACTGACAAACCTAAAATATACTTAAATAAATATAAGAAATAACAAAACGCAATAATAAAAGCAAAAGACATAAAGATTCACAAATGAAGACTCAAATCCAATCTAAGCTTTTTATGGCTTTTCATAGATGATCAATTTATATGACTCATGGAGGGATCAATTACAAGAATGAAAGATTGTAGTTGATCAATTAATTGTTCAATAGTAATAGCAGAGATTATTATTTGTCGTGTTGAAGATGTTAGAAATTTATGTTCTATAGCATGATCAAGAAATGATAACAACTTATCATGATAACTATTAACATTTAACAAACCTATGGGTTTATGGTGAATATATAGTTGGGCCCAAGAGGAAATATGAAAGATCTCTTCTAATGTGCCCAGACCACTTGGTAAGGCGATGAAGGCATTAGGATGGTTGAACACTGCATTTATTCAAGCAAATATTATAGAGACCTGTAGTTCCTCTCCAATTGTTTTTCCAATGATGTCCCCTTGTGCTAAAGCTTTGGGGACCACCCTTAAAATTTAACTACCTTTTAAAAATACAGCGATTGACACACCTCCCATTAACCCAAGGCTACCTCCGTTATACACTAAATGAATCTTTCTCTCAGCTAGCACCTGAACAAGATAATTTACTGATTCTAAAAACTCCTTTTTCTTTTCGAGGACTAGATCCACCGAAAACACAAACATTACGTATCTGATGACCTGAGAAACTTGTCATTTCTACACACTTTATATTTGTTGAATGTATGGGTTGAGTAGAAATTAAAGGAAGGAAGAGAGGATTTTATAGATGAAAACACAAACATTTCTTATCTGATGACCTGAGGAACTTGCCATTTTTACACACTTCTATATTTATTGAATGTATGAGTTGAGTAGAAATGAAAGGAAGGAAAAAAGGATTTTATAAATGAAAAATTAAAAAGGCAATCATATCACCTATATGTAAGTCAGCTGGAGTCTTACATACTCTCTCTCTCTCTCTCTCTTTATTTATTTATTTATTTAAAAAAACATGTGTATGTATAGGTGGTTGTGTTTGTGGCTCACATCTTCTCTTGGTTTTACTTTCAAGAACGGCTTAAACACCCTCTATGGGTCGGGGATAGGCTTCCCATCTAATTTTTTTAAAAACTGGCAAACATGGTCTTTTTTAGTCAGATTCCTAAGACTATACCAAGCATGTTCTTTATGAAAATAGGTTATAAGTCATTAATTGTACGATACTTATTTTGACTATGATAAGACTTAAGAGTCAATAGAAGATTATCTAAAAACTCTCTGTGTTTTGAAATAAATCCCACCTTTTGACAATTTTTACAGGTTTTGCGGAATGCAAGTGATTCCTTGAATATGGTGGGCTGGTAAAATCCACTTTCTAAGATTTATACCATTCTTTTTTTTATGAGAAATGATTCCTATATGCCTTAGAGTGACAAAATTTAATGACATTACTTACCTCATTGTTGCAAATGCATCTTTGAAATATTTGATCAGGACAATAATTGAATAAGTAAGGGTCATCATCCCAATAAAATTTTTGCGTGTTGCTCAAAAATTTTCTTTTGTCTTCGGTACTCTAGTGAGCTGGCAAAAATCCTAAAGTAAGAAAACCAAGGCATTGAACTAAGAGAAAGTAGAGATTCATCAGGAAAGTAATCATTGATTGGTGTGATATCGGGTGTCGAATCTATTGTCACTTTTGATAAAAGATCCGCATTAATATTTTCGGTTCCTTTTTCATTCTCGATTTCTTCCTGATTGGTCATACCATGAGCAAATGGAAGTGCTGGCGGGGAATCAGTCTTTTCTTTGTAATGTTCAAATTCAACCCCTTCCTTACCCTTAGAGATTGACTCATCATCTTACGGCCATATTTTCTGAAAATGATGAGGATACCCTACAAAGTCTACCACTTAATATACATGACCACACTTTCATGCACATATAGAAATAGAATAAAAGGAAGAAAAAAATAAAAGAAGAAGAAACAAGAGAAAAGAAACAAAGTTATATACAAGAAAAGTAAAAAGAGAAAATAAATACTATAATTTGTACAAAAACTTACCTCCCCGACAACGGCGCCAAAAACTTGACACGACCAAAAGATTGATGTCTTCTCCTAAGTGTAGGAGTGTCGAAGTAATAAATAACCCGGCAACACCGGAGTCGAACCACAAAGAGGTTAATTGTATAAATTATAGATGACAATAATAATACAACGACAATAACAACAACAACACTAGTAGTAGTAGTAGTGAAGAAAAAGAAGGAGAAGAAGAAGAAGATGATGATGAGAACTTTGAGATGGATATTAATATAAGGATTAAACAATGATAACAACAAATGTCAAGGTTAAAGGCTCCACTAATGATATGTCAAACAAGTATAGTATAAACTCTTATTATTCAATTGGAAACCACACACACAAAGGGGGTTCCAATCAAATTATAAATTGTTAACATGATTACATTAATTATCTTATTCAATTGATGCTAATACTTGTAAATATGATTGGGCATCCATGCTTATAGCTTATGTTAACAACAAATCAAGTTCCTTTCATAGCTCAGGTGTCAGTTATATCATACAGTATGGGCTATCAGAGTGTCAAGTATTTATTGTACCAAGTGTTATATAACATAAATCTAGATTAGTCATTTAACAAGTAAAGTATTAAAGAGTGAACAAGATAACAAATACAAAACATGTTAGTATCAAACATTAAAGTCCATATTAAGTTTACACTTTACTTATTCTTACACCATTAGTGTAACCTTTTCATCTTGACATAATAAACTTAGCTAAACATAATGAAAGAAAGAAAAATAAATAAACAAAATAAGAACATAAATAAGGTAAAAGTTAACTAAGTAAAGGAAAAGAAATGAAAGGCATAAACTTGATATTAATGAAAGCAAAGTATAAACATTACAAAAAATACAAAGAGAGAAAGCAAGAGCATGATCATGATTTGAAAACCAAGATGCCTAAATACATACCAAATGCCATTTTTTATAGGTCAAAATTGAGAACTATTGATTTGATGACTAATTGATGAGTGGGTGGCCAACTCTTGAGTTGGTGACAATCTTTATCTTCTCTTGTCTGCCCAAAATGTCATTGCTTACGTCAAAATTGGAGCCACTCGAAAACATGAAAGTTGTAGGAAATTGTCTCAGATTTCTTGTGTAAACAATTCAGCTCATTTTGACTTCTAGAACTCCAGATATGGCCAAAATACTGAACAGTGCTCGGGTTGGAGGACTGATTCAGACTTCTTCGTTGTTGCTATAATTTGGACTTGAAAATAATCTTTTTAAATCTCGGGATCCTGTGAAAGTTGTAGGTCTATGTCTTACCTTTCCATCCATATAAAGCAAACCTAAATCCGATATCTACAGTTCTAGATATGACCCAATTACTGAACAGTGTTCCGCTTTGGACTGCACCAGTATCTCTTTTCTAAGTTTGGCTATCTTGTTATCCTTTCAATTTTAGTTCTTAAACATCAATCAATCCTTTCATTTATGTGATAGGCCAATATTTAAAGTGAACATTTACCATAAATTAAAGGTATCTTATATTATTGATTATGTTATTATAAAACATGCATTAATTAAGGAGTTATTGATACTTCAAGTGCAAAATAATAATATAAAGCCTGGATAAAAATATATTTTTAAGTACTAATTAATTATCATATATTTTCAAAACGTTATACTAATTATATGAATCGATTTACTTGGATTATGCACTATTATGATATTTTTAAATAAATCATCATATGTATGTTTTGATAATACTATTATTGGATGTATTTATTTTGATTACTTACAAAGTTGAGAAAATTCATTCTTTTCACAAATCATTTGTATTTCGAGATTACTAAATATAGGAGGAGGTCAGAAGATTATTAGTCAAGCATAATGAATAATGAGACCATCATGTGGAGATTTATTATTAAAGATTGTTCATATCATTATAGATTTTTTATTATGATTTTTTGTTTTTGAATTTTGATATTTAAATATATACAAATTTCATGTAAAGTTTATTATAGACATAATTATGATTTATATTTGGATTTGGATTAAGGTATTTTATAGATGAATATTTATATAATATTTCTTTATAAAGTTTTTATTAGTTTTGAGTGTGGAAGTTTATTGCAGTCCAGGAGATTTTTGGTGGTGATTCCATGGACCGTATAGTGATTTATTTTCTTTTTTTGTTTTGATGGGTGTGTTTTTGAGTGCTTGGTATATGTTTTTATTTATCAGACAATTAAATTTGCTTGCTTAAAGGTGATGGGTATAGCCTATTTAATATTATGCAATTCCAACTATGATTTGTATTCAAAATATATATTGTTCTTACTCAAGGGAGGGAGAAAATTGATCGTTCTAAGAAAATTAATGTAGATTGCTGATATTAAAATAGACTTACCCTAAAGTTGTCGCGGAGCTAAATTGACAACTATTGTTCTTACAAAGAGCCCGCGGACACAATCATTGTCTAGACCCACTAACCTAGAGACCTCTTATTGTACATGATGTTGACGTAGACAAAAAAGAGATAAGGGAGAATAAAAGGAAGAGCTAACGACCTTAATATAAAAAATATTACATATTTTGGGACCCAACCAGAATTTTAAAAAAAAATGTCATGCTTCAGTTTTCTAAATGTTCATAATTGCAATACCTACAAAAAGAAAGATACATTAAGTGAGATTGTTGATGTCCCTCACGGCATGAATTCTTTCTTCCCGCCCCCCTCCTTTCTCCAGTCTTTTCGAGCTGGGTTTTGTACCTTTGCCAAGTTTCTTTGAAACTTTTTCTTGCCCATGATGTCTGCTTAATTTTCTCCTCTCCTTTTGACCCAAATGGGCATTCTTCTCTTCATTCTCACAGTAGGGAAATTTACAATGGTATCGTCCTCAGCCACCCACCTTCAGGTCCAACAAAAGAGAGATTTAACCAGTAGTTGTAAACCTTATAAATCTTTCACATTAATCAAAGCTTATCAGTGCTAAAGGCAGTCAAAATTAAGGTTAGGTTAGACCGACAACAATTCTGTTTTTTCCAAGGTAGAGAAAATATTACTCTAGGGAATGTCTAGTCTAGCATAAGACCTCTAGAAGACGACAAATTAGCTGCTAGGGTTTTTGGTCTCAATTACATCAATAGAATTAATTGTCGGCATAACTAGGCACTGATTTGACCATAGCATCTTGGCTTAGGATAAATAATGTGATGCCTATATGTAATGGGCCATGTATTGTATGTAATTCCACAAAATCAACATTTGACCAATGACCACTTCTTTGATAAACTATCACTACCACCACGAGGACATATCTAACAAATCTATCAAAGATTGTGTTTCCAATGCATCTAGCGATTTTTTTTTTTAAACCGCTTTTTCTAAATTTAAATATGAAATAGTATAAAAAAATACGATAAAGAGAAATGATATAGTTTTTAATTATTGATATCTTATTAATTACTATTAGTTACTAGTTAAAATTCATTTTGGAAAACAATATATAAAAAAAATAAAAAAATCGTACTTAGAGATATTCTTGTTATTTTTTATGACTCAAAGCATTTTATTTTTTCACTCTTTTTTGTATCTGGTTTTCTTTAAAATGGATCCTAAAAATAGCTAGGATATCATTAATTACCCACTAAATACCATAAAATTTTTCATATGATAAATGATAATTTCCTTTGTGATAATTTTTCCTAATGTATATGGCCAAAATATAAGATAATGTGATGAATTAATCAAGTTTAGATGTGGTTAATATAGAAGGTGATTCTAATTGGAAGCATCACATGGAAACGAATAAAAAGCCAATTAAAAGTTGGCAGAAAGGTGGATGTTTCTTGTCATGATTTGTCTTTGTTCATTTTAATAAAAGTAAAAGAAAATATTCAGTGTATGATGAGCAAGGCAAGTTTCGAAAAGAATTTATACTCTGTAAAAGATTATAGAAATTCACAGCAGGCGCCTGAATTATTTTTTCATTTTTATCCTTGATTTTTTCTTCTCTTAATTTTAGCTTTTTATACACAAACTAGTGATCAATTTATTAAGAAAAAAAAAACCAAACTTTCTATTTTCATTGTTGTATTTGTATAAAGTTTTCATAAAAAAAAGAATTTTTTATTATTATTAACCACAATTATCTAATGAATAAAATGAAATGAAAACATTTAAAAAAAAAGATAGTTAATGTAAAACATTTGCAAATACAGACTTTTATTTCTATTACGAAGATTAACTTTCCGTTATAATATGAAATTAATCTTAAAAATTATATTTTATTTACTAGTTCATATATTTTTTAATTTATTTAATAACTTATAAATAACATCTTTTCATTTTTCTATTAGAAAAAATAGTGTTTTAAGAATGGAGCATCATAATTTATTTCCATTTGTTTTTTATATGTATCACAGTCTCAAATAAATATCTTAATATTGGGTTAGTGCTTGATGTTGTGAGATTTTATTTTTTTATCATATAATTAAATAAAAATTAGTTTGGTAAAAAAAATAAAACAAAGTAATTAAATCCAATGAAGTCCAAGTCGCGTGTTTCATAAATTAACATGGGTTAACCCTGATCGATCTAATAAATCATCATCTTAATTTAAAAAAAAATAATATCATTTTAATTTTTTTTTAATTGTTAACCAATACTTTTACCAATCATCCAAATTACCTTTAGAATATTCATTAATTGACTAGGTTACATTAACAGAAGTCCTAAACTATTTGATTTGAAGCCAGATCAGATAAAAAAACAGATAAAGAGGTTTCAATTGATCAACTATATTGCACTTAATAACACTATACAATAATTTCTCATAGTCTACATATTTTTTTACTATAATTTTTTCTTTTTTATCTTGAATGAACTAGCTATTTAGTTTCATCTATAAAGCATGTGACGCTTTTGATGTGTCAACTACTAATTCTCTTGGAAAACATTTCTAAAATTTAAAATTAATTATAGAAAGAATTACCTTTTATTTAAATCTATAAATCATGTGTCGCTCCATATTTTAAGATTTGTTGGTCGACGGTAAAATAATTTTATATGATTTTCTTAATTTTATAATGTGTCACTCCATTTATCATATTAATTGACATCTAAAAAACAGCAAGAAAATTGACATGCTTATATAGGGACTTGGTAAGACTACATACATATAAAAGAAAAGAGAAAAAAAAAAGAGCAAGGAACCAATTACCTAAACTGGGTGACAAAGTGGTGCAAGAAAATTGAAGCTTCCAGTCTGGCCAAGTCAAGTCCAGGACATAATCTTTGCCCTCCTCCGAATGGAGTGAAGCTACTATTGCTCATATCCTTGTCCTGTGATGTGACAGTCTCCTATCCATAAGTTAAATGCCAAAGAACCCTAACAATCAACAAATTAGCACGAAAAGGTCGACAGAAGCAATTTCTTACTTGCCACCTCCATGGATTGAATTGGTAAGGCCACTCATAGTTGTTTTCATCAAGATGAACTGATCTGAAGTATGCAAAAGCACACCATCCTTTGGGTATCAAATACCCTTTAATCTCTATGTCCTTCATTGCCTTTCTCATCACCCCAATTATAATGTTCCCCATTCTTAGGGTTTCTGTAATCACCTGTTCAAAAAAAAAAAACTAAGATGATTTCCTTCTTCAAATTACGATCATGGAATCACATACTTATACGACCTCTATATATATAAGTTGATTTCCTTCTTCAAAAAAACTAAGTTGTGAACTAAGGAGGATCCAAAACGGTACTCACTGTTTGTGTAAAGGGTAGAGATAAATAATCACTCCAGCACAGTGGCTCCCCATGCTGAGCTTTGAGACTTTTCAATTTCATGTTCTCCTCCTGGGCACCAATTATATATCATCATCATCATATATATATTCTTATTATTTGTCTGTGTATTAAGCTCTATATATTTTCACATATAAGATAGATAAACAAATAAACTTGCCAGAGATCCATGCAAATCTCATCAAAAAATCTTCAAGAATATTTTTTGTTTTGTCGATTATATACCAGGAACGTGCTGTTGGTTCCAGTTGTTGGTTAGTGCACTCAGCATAGCCTAGCCCTAGCTAGTACGCTCTGCTAGTAATAAGCATAGACGAGTGAGAAGTTAATAGTAAATGGGAAATTTTACCATGTTAATTAAGGATAACAAAATGAAAAAGACATTGCAAAGTAGCCAAAATTAAACTTATTAGAAATCAGAAAATTGCCACAAAAAAAAAAAAAAAAACTTAGCTAAAATGGACTGGTCAATATTTAAGAAGATGTGGCATGGAGCTGAATAATGAAGATAATTATTAACTTCCTCCATTAGGTTTTAGAATGATATAAAATAGAAAACAAGCTCATTTGTGGTTTAAGTTAAACTTCAAGAAAAGATGAAGATTGTCATTAATTACTAATTTTATACTGATAATATAATAAAACAAACTCATTTCTCATTTGAATAATAATAAAAAAAAAAAGATGATAGAAATATTTTAACTATGAATTGATCATGCTTGCCGCTAATTAATCAAAAGAAATTAAGTTAAGAATTATATATATATGGAAGAAAGGTAGGAAATTGAAGATACCGTCAATTGGTGTAGCGCAGGAGGGCAGTCTGAAAGGTATTTAACAGCAAGAGTCATAAGGACTGGGACTGAATCTTCACCAGGTATCATCATGTCGATCATATTATCAGCTATCAAATCATCTGTTAAATGTTCGCTTGCATCGTTAAGCAACACTTGCACTAAATCTTTTGGTACCATTGAAATCATCCCATGATCTCTCTTAGATTGGATAATTTTTTGCACTAACTTCACCATTTTCTTCTTTGCCTGATGAAAACCAAAGTAAATTTCCTTGTTATTCACCACCTGTTATTTTTTATCTCTATAATTCAAACAAATTAAGAGAAAGGTGAATTATTCAGGAAAGTGTGTGTGATTGATTTACTAACTTGCCTGTAATGATCGATAAAGCTGGCTTCCAGGAATGTTTTTTAAAGGTAAAGACATGAGCCCTGCAATGAATTCTTGGAACTGTTTTTTTAGCAACTCCATTTCTTCACCAGGATCCAAACTAATCAATGCCTTGACCAACACTTGAAAGGCTATCTGGAGACATTTATAAATCCTTGGTAACTTTTAGAGATATTAAATTAATTACTGTGTACATGTCGTAATTATGATCATGAGTCTCTTCTACTACAGACAATATGATTCATGCAAACCCCATGCTCCACTAAGCTTGGTCTTACTTTCCAGCAAAATCATTTCAAAACTTAAGTAGAAGCCACGGATAAAATTCGAACATCAATCATTAATATATTTCACTAGAGAGAGAGAGAGTTACTGCATGGAGGTCGTAGTGATGTGATTTGGATCTCTTTCAATTTTCATAAAATAATGTAAAAAGAAAAAGAAAACTTGGAAGAAGATGAAAGATGCCAGAAATAGGGTTAAGAGACATGACATCTTTTGTTTTATCTTGTGTCTCTCGGAACTCTTCTCAAAAAAGAAAGGGGAGAAAAACATCTTAGTTGGGACTCAGAGAAGAAAACTGGAGATAGATCTCAAACTTCAAGGATACATAATTCTACTTTCGAAACCGCACCGCACTCTCACACAAAGAGAGACAGAAACAGAAGATTGAGAGAGGGGGGGAGGGGGTGATGAGGGAGGAGAAGACTAACATTCTTGGTTTCATCTTGTATGAAAATGGGGTGGTCTTCTCTCCATTTCTCCATTGATTCTTGAACATAACTTTGCATGTCTCGAGTGATTTGAGCTTTGAGATGAGGTGACTTGAAGAAGGCACCTATGAGTCCATGAATTCTCCTTTGTAAGCTCCCATTGATGAGCAAAATTGAAGATTTTCCCATCAACTCAGTGAGAGATTTCGGGTAAGAAGGAACAAACAACCTTGCATCACTTTGTAGTATAAATTTGCTCACTTCTGCATCTGTTGATACTATTGTAGGACTTCCAAATATATGGGACTTGAACACCTTCCCATACCTGCAATACATTCACATATACATGTTAATTAATTTTGTAATTATCATAGTAATTATAACCCTCTTCTTAAGCATTAATTCTGATATATGATAAAATCAATTACTCACTAATCACAAATAAAATCATCTGACAAGATATAGTTACTAAAACTAAGTTCAACATACATGTTCCTAAAAAATCTAGGAAGAAAATGAATTTGGGATTACATAGATATCTAGCCAGGGCTAATTATGCAAGTGTTAGCAAAAGAAGAACTCTCTCTCTCTCTCTCTCTCTCTCTCTATGTATATGTATATGTATGTATGTATGTGTATGTATGTATGTATGCATGCATGCATGCATGCAGAGTTAAGAACTATCAGTGTATATATACTTACATGCGACGACGTTTATCCATGAAGCTTTCAGGGCGGTCTGAGTAAGCACAGGAAACGAAGTCGATGGTTTCGCCGATAAAGGGCCATCCAAGAGCGCCTAAAGGAAGTAAGGTTTTCTCGTACATTGATGATGATTTGATCATCATCATCACCATCGTCATAATACTATTACTAAACCAGCTGCTGTTCCTGTACAGAAATATTATGGTACTACTGCAGGACAAGAAGATTGCTAATAAAATCCACAATAAACTGTCCATGTTTAATAATAAGTATCCTATTCCTACAGAGAGAGCTCTCTTTCTCTCTGCTTTGCCAAAATACGGCTTCCTAATTATGGTGATGGGTATAATTTATATGAGGGGATGATTGATGACTGAGTACTCATTTGTAAAGAAAATATATGATATGAATGTGGACGATGCTGATGTGTTGGCAGAGATAGAGAAAACGAGGCTGGAAATTAACTCAGAATGAGTGGAAGGTGTCAGACAAACTGTCTGCGGATGATAATAAATAAATAGTTAATTTAGAGGCGTGAAAAGTCTCTCAACGTTACATTCAGAGATAAAATCTTTAGAGTATAATCAAACTCTTTAAAAAAATTTAAAAATAAATAAAAGATAAATAAAAAAATTGTTTTGTATATATTTTTTAAACAAATTTATATTACTTTAAAACATTACAACATTACAGAGAAATATTTTAATTTTTAATATTATCACTGTTAATGAAATTATATAATTATTAATAAAATTATATAATTATTAATAAAATAATTATATTTTAAATTAAACTAAATAATTGTTATTTAATTTTATCCTAACAATTATAAATATCAAATTTAATTAAAAAAATTAAAGAAAAATAGCATCACCCATACATTAAGTTTAAGTGGTCAAGTGTTAAGTGAAATCTTTTTTATATTATAAATATTCATATATAGCATAGAAAACTCACTAAAAAAATAAAATCTTATATTTATAAATATCTAAAAATATTTTTTAATATAATAATTTTTTTATTTATTTACAAATTACATTAAATTAAAAAACATTTGTTTTTTTTATTTATATTGGCCTATTGGATAATGCATCATCATGTGATAGATTATTAGCTGCTAGTAGCTGCCTAGTATTATTGGCTTCTTTCGGGAGTGTGGACCAAAAAGATGCCCCCTGCACTGTGAAATCGTCAACTTTACAATACCAATGAATGATGATTCAGATTTTCAGATTTTATATTAGTAAAACGACTCTTCCTCGGTCCTCTTAACTGCCATATAAATATATACAAACTTAATTAATATTTTTTAAAATATACACACACACACACAGACACACAAGTACAATTTAGTGGAATGCTTAATTAATTTTAAAAAAATCATTAATTTTGAGAAACACTCGAGGAGAATTAATTTTATATTATAATTGCATTTTCTCTCTTGCTTTTAAATTTACATAAGACTTTTTTTTTAGTAATATAATGTATTATTTTTCTTTGAAAACCAATCATTTAATTAGTATTCAAAGCATCTATACTTAACCATTTAACAATTAACACATCAGCTTGTACGTTATTTTAGGAAGAAAGTTTTGCATTAAATTGGAGATATATAAAATAAAGAAGCAAAGATTAGAAATAAAGTAAATAATTCAAGATTTCGCATAAATTGAAGACGAAAATATATAGAGAAACATTTTCTTTATAATTCTTTTTCTTATCTTTTACAAGTATTTTAACTGGTTAAGGATAGCAATTATACGGTAGCATGCATTGATCAAATTATTATGATCTTGAGGATTGAATACATAAAATACTAACTACCGTATATATAGAATAGAAAAAAAAATTGCGAAATAGATATTAATTAATAAAATAAATTAAAAATTATTTTTATCAATAAATATTAAATAAAAATTATTAACGCTGACCACATATTTAATTAATAAGTTAAGATAAAGATGAATATTAAGATATTTGAACAAAATTAAATTTTTTTTCTAATAATAATAGTAATAATAATAATTTCAACTCAATTGAAAAACAAATTAATTTTCTACTATAATTCCTCATTTTCTTATTAATATAATTTTTTGAACAAAAATATATTTTTTTCTTGGATTCTTAATATGATAAAATCCAAAAGCTATATATATATATCTTCAATTAAAACTCCATTAAGTTATTAATCTTAATTTTCTGTCATTTTTACCAAAATATTTATTTTTTAGACAATAGTTTATATGAATTATAAAATCAAACTTTAATAAATAAAAAAACTATGTATTGATAATCTTGACTCAAATGTCTTAAAACTTATATAAGAATAACATTATGTTTGTGTGTTAGCTAGGAGAATGTTTTGAAATCCATATTTATTTATTCATACCATAATTAAAATAGATATGCATAATAAAGACAGTGAATAAAATTCAAAGAAAATATTTTAAAAAAACAATGACGAGCAATACAAAAAGATTGATTGCTGATATTAAAAAAGAATGCTATAATCTTATAAGAAAATAAAAATTAAAGTGTATTTAATAAAATACTATCCTAAGAATTTTTTTAATAATTTAATTTTAATGAATTCAAATTAAAAATGAAAAAAAAATAAAAGTTTTCATAAATGGAGTCTAGCGTGTAGTCGTGGTTAGGTAAGCTGAGTTAACATGTATAAAAGAAGGTCAGGCAAGCGTGGGCTTGGAAGCTAAGCCTGCACACCTGATTCTTTTTTTTTTAAAAAAAAAAAGCAAACAACACATTGTTTTCTAATTAAAAAAAATAAAGCAAAAAACAAGTCACTTGCTTATCTAGATTTCGATCACTAAAGAGGTGGTCAGAAATTTAGCTAGGGTTTTTCAAACCAAAAAATGATATGAATCAAGTTAAGTTTAAATTTAGCCTTAAAATGTCTATTGACTAGTTTTGCGATATCAGACATATCTCAAATCATACATTAGAATAAGCTGAAATTTTAAAGGGAGATATTAGAGAAATGAAATTATATTTTGGTAAATATTTAGATAAAATAGAGTTTGGGAATATATTATTTTAGAGGGTTGAAGTTACTAGAAAAATCCTGTCAAATTTGTCACACTAAATCTTTATGTACTGTTTGTCACATATATAGAGCTATAGGTGGAATAGTTTGTAAGATTCAAGTTGGTCTGGAAGACATCTCAATCTTTTTAATTATATATGGTAGGTCTAGTAATTCATTCAAATGAAAGAGAATAATGTATGTGAAGTCAAAACTTAAAATCTGCTAAAAATGTGCAAAACTTAGAGATTCACGCTACATGAAGAAATTTTAGCTTCAAGTATTTGTTTTTATTATCCTATTTTATTTATTTATTTAATATTGAATAATTATTTTTAATGTGGGTTTATTTTGACCCATTAGACATTGTTTAGGGGTTTATTTAATTACTAAACTTATGTTAGTTGATTACTAGTTTAAAACCATTAGCTTGCAACTTTAAAACAGATCATTAGGGTTATTTAGAGAAGATTACATTATGTATTTTTTAGCTACAAATTTTAAAAGCAAGTTAGAGAATAAATGTGAGTTCTCTTTTTGTTTTTTATCACAAAACATCATTTCTTTGTAGGGCTAAAGATCGTACATTGACTAATCAAATATTAATTGGCTTTATGGTGTCATTCTCATACTTAAGGTTTTTAAATATAAGATTATCTATGGGTCCAAGTCTTTTTGCAATACCTTTGGTTCTTAAGTACAAGGTTACCTCTAGATCAATATTCTATCAAACCTGATTTTCAGATTTATGGGTTATTATCTATTTCGTTAAGGGTTGGTTGACCACATAATCAAGAGGTTTGCATTTGTTGGTATCAAAGTAAGGTGATTGTGCATCAAAAGTGTCATTAAGTCTCTTATTTTACATATGTATTTATTGTTTTTATTTGGTTGTTTTTATAATAATTAATGTGTTTTTTAGTAATGAAGTTTGTTTTAATGTTTTGATAGGTTTTTGGAGCTTAAATGAATTAATTCAGAAAATTCAACGTCGGAATTCAGAACAAAGAATTGAAGAGACATTTAGTTGAAGATTGAAGCAAATCTTGGTTCAAATAAGTGCTCCAAATTTGTTCCAAAAATCAATTCTATTCCAATTCTAGAAAAGAATATCATATGATTTATTTCAAGCCCAAACTTGCCTTATGTTGTGTGCAAACTTCAACCATTAAACACTCAAGGTTTCAATGTCAATATTAGCCCAAATAATAAGTACATTTGTATACTTATTTGATGCTCAAATTCAGCCCAAATTCAGCCCAAAATCAGCCCTAAATCAACCCCAAATCAACCTTCAAACTAACCCAAACACAATCCATGATCTTACATATCCACACAACAAATAACAATTGATTTATTTTGGGTAATCCATTGATCCAAGAAGGCAAGCACATGGATGGAAAGCTGGAGGGGATATTTTAACATTATTTTGGGTAAAAAAGAAAAAGGAGACACCTCATAAATGAGGAAGAAAAACGTGCACCAAAGTAGTTGTAAAGCTGTCTTGATTTGATTTTTCAGAACACCTTTCGGTGTTTTGCCCATAAGTTTTGACTCAGGTGTCCAAATGAGCTGTTCTTTAATGATCTGGAAAGGTGACAGAATTTCCTATAAATATGTCTCTAATAGACTTCTCCAAAAAAAAAGCTTCTAAGAGGGTCGAATTGCTGTCCAAATTTAGAGTCAGATTTGTGTCCGAATTTTTTTCTGAAATTGTATTGTGTTCTTCTTTATAGATTTCGGTTCTTTAGTTTGTAAAACTTATTTTTTCAGTTGGATTCAAGTTCTTTCATGTTTATTGAAGTGTTCTTATATATAATCATGGTTGGCTAAACTCTTTCTTGGATCCAAATCAAGGATAATGGTGATTGAGGTGAGTTCTTTAGGATATGAATGAATCTTAATGTTTATCTTCTTATTTTCTTCATGAATGATTTATTATTGTAAAGAAATTTTAGAAATCATTTAGGTAATGTTATAATCTTGAATTTTTATGCACAAACTTTAGTTTTGGTATAGAGATTGCTTGATTCAATGTCTTACTTAATATGAAAGTACTTGTTCATTCTTAAGCAATAATCAATCTTAATCTTTCTAATCTTCATTGTAATTTTTTCCGATCTAATATCACCATCATTGAGATTAGGTTGAGTTATCTTATATATGTTGAAGAAATCACCAATACATCACCATTAAAATTGATTTGGACCAAGACTTACTTTTCTTGTCATTTAAAATCTATTTACATTTTTTTTTTATCTTTGAAAACAAATCCATCAATTATTTTCAACCAAGTTATTGTTAATTTAATTTCTCTTGAGTTTTTTTTTTTGTTACTTAGCTTAATTTCCAGATCTAGCTCTCTGTGGATATGACCTCGATCTTACCGAGTTAATTGCTACATCGCACACTCGTGCACTTGCGAGTTAAAACAAGCCGA